CAACACGCACGTACTGCCCAAACACGCACACGCACACGCACACCCACCACCGCCAGGGTGGGCCGGCTGCCGGGCTCCTTAGCGACACACGCCTCGTAAAGCGGCTGCAGATAGGCATGTGTACGGCAATGAGCTGGCCATGAGGGTGTCCGTATTCCCAGGTCCAGGTCCAGCGTGGAGAGCAGCTGCACGGGTCCGGGACCGGGTCCTGGGAGGGGCCGGGGCCGGGGGGAGGGGGCAACAAGAAGCAGAGACGGAAGGGGAATCACATGCACGGAAAAACGAGAAATGAACTGCCGGCTTTTTCTCGTCCGAAGAGTCCGGAAGTGCCCCCAGTGCGTGAGTCCTAATAAGCGATGAAGTTACATCGACGGAGGAGGGGCAGGAAACCATTTGCGGTGGGGCAGTACATGGCAGGAGGGTGCGAAGAGGGGTGGTGGAAAACTGATGTTCCATACCCCGCTGCTCTCGTGATGAAAACCCTAAGCCCCTCGGCGGAAAGGAGAGGAGACGAGGTGCGGTGCGAGGTGCCACGCAAGGAAAGCCGACAGCAGGGGCGCACCTCAAGCTCCTAAAGATGGGCTGTCCGCCCTTCATTCATTCCGCTATATCCGCTCCCAAGGCCCAACACGGCCCCGGCTCGGCACCCACTGGCCCGACACCCTGGCAGGTGCCTTCTGATGTCTCTACCCGCCACTCACCATTACCAACACATACATACATACATACATACATACATACATACATACATACATACATACATACATACATACATACACACGCACCGCACCTGAGGTGGAGTTGACCTGCGGCCCTGACTGCCCTAGCTGCCCCTCCGCAGGCGGCTCACCCGCCGCCATGGCCCACATCAGCATCCCGAAGGCCCAGGTGTCGTGAGAGGCATCCACGGGGCAGCAAGGGTCCTGCTGCGACTCGGGCGGCAGGAACAGCTCATCGCGCCAGCCGCCACCGCCACCGCCAGAGGTCGCGGTGGAGGCTGAGGCGCCCCCGGCCGGGCGGCTGTCCAGCGACTGGGCCCCGTGGCAAGAGCGGCTAGGACCTGACGGCGCGGCACCTCCGTCCCCGACTCTTTCCCTTTGAAACAAAACTGCTGCCACTTCTTCTTCTTCTTCCTCCTCCTCCTCCTCAGCATCCTCCCCCTCTTCCTCTTCCTCTTCCTCTTCGCCCTGCACCTTCTCTCCGCCGTTTCCATTTCCTGTCTCCACCTGTTCTTCTTCCTCCTCGTCCCCCTCCTCGCCTTTGTCCTCTGCTTGTCCCCCGCGGCGCCGCTGCGGCTGCTGCTGCTGCTGCGGCTGCTGGTGGTGGTGGTGTGACTCGGCGCCCCAGAGGCCATCGGCAGTTTCATGCTCCGGAACCACGCTGCTGCTGACCGGAGAAGCTGCCGCAAGCCAGGAAGGCCAGCGGCTGAGGAGCGCGGCGGCGGCTAGGGCTACAGAGGATGCACGGCTACTAGACGCCGCCGCGCCGCTGCGGGCGTTGCTTACTCGCCGGGAATGGCCACCCCCGCCGGCGTCGGACTCGGGGGTAACAAGCACGCTCGGCACTGCTTGCTTCGAGAGCGCTGCCGTACCCGCAGTCGGCTTGTTGAAGACCAATGAGCGGATCAAGGACGTGAGCCGCGAGGGGGTGCCTGGGGCGGAGGCCCCACCGCACACGACGCTTACGTTGCCGCCGCCGATGCAGCTGGCGGCGGCGCCTGCACCAGTGCTGACGGCAGTGGCGGCGCCCAGCGTGAAGGATAGGGAGCTCTTCCCGCTGCGCACTGCCGCCGCCGTCACCTCCGGGCCGCTGCGCAGCACCAGGTCCGAATGAGACCGACGAGCGGGGACAGTGTCCATGTCGCCTTCGCAGCCGCCGTCAACGCCAGAGCGCTGCTGAGCCGAACCAGGTCCTAAGCCCGTTCCTATTCCTCCCGCCGCTGATGCACCCTCCACCGCGACCGCTTCAACACCCTCAACCTCCAAATGTTCCGGTATTGCATAGCTGGTACGCAGCGGCCGGCGTGACGCGCGCATGAACGACAGGCCCCCAAGGAGCTGTCCCTCCGACGGTGTACGGCACAGGGGCGGCGCGGTTGCAGCGGCGGCCCCGCCCGTCGACCCAACGGCGCGCCCTGGACAGCTGCCCATTGCCAGCATCAGCGGGGGGATCAAGGCGCTGCCGCTAGGCCGCCTGCGGCCGGGGGCGACAGCAGCGCTGCTGGCGAAGTCAAGTAGGTGGTTACCGGCAGACGTGGACGGCGAGAATGCCGCCTCCGCCACCGCCAGCACGCGGCTAGGAGGCCGAGAGCGGCCTGTGAAGGAGGCCGGGCTGTACGGCGCCCCGCAGGAAGGAGACCACCACGGGTTGCTGGTGGAGGGAAGCGATGAGCAGGCGGCGGAGGCCACCGACGTCGGCGCCACCGGCGCCACCGCGTCTGCGGCGGGCATCCTCGGCGAACCGGCGTACGGCAGGAAAACAGACCCGCCCTGGGATGGCAGCGCCTCCGGCCAGCTCAGCATCGTGGCGGCGATGTGCGGCTGGGGACTTGAGCTGCAGCGCCCGGCACCGCCGCCGCCGCAGCAGCCCACGCTGGGACCCTGCCCCTGGAAGCGAGCGTCCATGCTTTTGCTGCTGTCGCCGGCTGCGACGAGGTTTGCGGTGCTGTTCCGATTGCCCAGCAGCTGCACGAAACGGACGCTCGCACCAAAAACCTGCATGCAGCATGCGCGGACGGGGAATGGAGGGAGAGCGGTGAGTGAACACGCAGCTCGCCCAAAGGGACGACACCCCCATAACCTTTCCCTGCACAGTGGGCGGCCGGTACGAGCTCTTTGATGCGAGCTCGCGGCCTCACGACCTCCGTGGTCTCGTCCGCCGCAGAATCACGGCATGACATGACGTAACCCCTCCATCCTATCCAGCCTACAAACCCGCAGGGAGCCCCCCCCAAGGCATTTCCAACCCTCCTAGCCCAACACAACCCGGTGCGCCCTTTCCTTCCCTTCCCCTTCCCTTCAACATCCATTCCAACCCAGCCAAGAGAAAGTGCCCAAGCGCACAGCCCCAGCACACTGTTAGCCTCTGCTACCATACCGAAGGAGGCCCTCCAAGCCCAGTCCCGTGCCGCTGTGGGGAATCATGTACGGGGATAGCGCCGAGGTGGGGGAAGCGGGCCAGCCTCCCCAGTGAACACCAAAGCACACAACACCGCACCGGTAAAGTTGCCCTCGTGTACCCTGTCCACGGCTCTAGCTCCTGTCCGCGGCTCTAGTTCCTGTCCGCGGCTCTAGTTCCTGTCCACGGCTCTAGCTCCTGTCCGCGGCTCTAGTTCCTGTCCGCGGCTCTAGTTCCTGTCCGCGGCTCTAGTTCCTGTCCGCGGCTCTAGTTCCTGTCCGCGGCTCTAGTTCCTGTCCGCGGCTCTAGTTCCTGTCCACGGCTCTAGTTCCTGTCCACGGCTCTAGTTCCTGTCCGCGGCTCTAGTTCCTGTCCGCGGCTCTAGTTCCTGTCCGCGGCTCTAGTTCCTGTCCGCGGCTCTAGTTCCTGTCCGCGGCTCTAGTTCCTGTCCGCGGCTCTAGTTCCTGTCCGCGGCTCTAGTTCCTGTCCACGGCTCTAGTTCCTGTCCGCGGCTCTAGTTCCTGTCCGCGGCTCTAGCTCCTGTCCGCGGCTCTAGTTCCTGTCCGCGGCTCTAGTTCCTGTCCACGGCTCTAGTTCCTGTCCGCGGCTCTAGTTCCTGTCCGCGGCTCTAGCTCCTGTCCGCGGCTCTAGTTCCTGTCCGCGGCTCTAGTTCCTGTCCGCGGCTCTAGTTCCTGTCCGCGGCTCTAGTTCCTGTCCACGGCTCTAGCTCCTGTCCGCGGCTCTAGTTCCTGTCCACGGCTCTAGTTCCTGTCCACGGCTCTAGCTCCTGTCCGCGGCTCTAGTTCCTGTCCGCGGCTCTAGTTCCTGTCCGCGGCTCTAGTTCCAGTCCACGGCTCAGATTATAGAAACACACCCCGCCTCACATGACCCACATGACCCACCTTGGTCCGGAAGTTGCGGCGGTCGTGGTTTGAGGGCACCAGCAGCACATTACAGGGCCGCAACGCGCCATGCACCAAGCCGATGGAATGCAGGTGTGCCAGTGCCCCCGCCACCTCCAGGGCAGTGCGCAGCAAGGCACGGCGGGCCATGTACGCAGGCCAGGAGCGGTTGGGGCGGAAGGGGTTGTGGACACCACCCAGGAGGGACTCCAAACTCCCCTGAAGTGCGCGCCAAGGGGGGGGGAATAAATACATCACGTAAAGGGTTCAAGGAGGGAAGAATAGCACCAACAACAACTCCTGGCCGACGGCCAAACTTGCCAACTGCTGTCGGAGTCACAAGTGACGACGCGATGGCTTTACAAGCTTTACTACCGACGTTATTGTTTGCGCGTTGTATACCGGTAACCACCCTCAGCTTAGGGAGGGGGGAAAAGAGAAATGCAAAGGAGGTGTCATGAAAAGGAGGTGCGAGAGTGGGGATGCAATGGGGTTGGACCCACCATCGGTGAGCCCTCGCACACCACCGCCAGGACGCCTTCTCCGGGCTGAAGCTGCAGCTGAGCCCGTAGAGCCGCCACCACGGTCGCCAACTGGGTTACGGGTGCCATGGCGGTGAGGCGCTGGTGCTGGTGCCGAAGAAGGTCACGAACCCCTTGATGCTGCTGCTGCTGCTGCTGCTGCGGGGTCCTCGCGAGTTGGGCTGAGCGATCAGGGCCGCTGCTGCCGCAATTAGTGGGCGGTGCGGAGCTGCCGGTTGTCGGGTCCAACCAGTCCGCTGACGATGATGTAGCAGCAGCGGCAGCTGCAGTAGCAGCAGTTGCAATTGGAATTGGAACAGCGGTTGCAGGGGCAGCTGCTGCGGGGTTAAAAAGAGGGTTGGGTGAATATGATGGGGTAGCTGCACAGCAGCGGCGACGGTAAGGGAGTAGACAGCACGCGAGGAGGTTCAGAGACGACCACACGAGAAGACTCAACTGCAACGAAGGACACAGGACACAGGCCACAGGACAAGTGCGGAAAAAGGGAAGGGCTCTTTTGTCCAACCCCACCCCACCCTCAAGGGCTCACGGGTCCATTCAGAACCCCTGATGGCCCCTTCTTTCCTCCGAATTACACACCGACGTCCGTTCCTCTCACCGGGTTCGACACCAGGTGCGTTTTCCGGCACTTGGCGACCGGCGGCTGGCAGCCACGACAGAGCCTCATCACGGGCCCAATCAGCCCCCGCCGCCGCCGCCGCTGCCGCGGGCGCCCCCAGCGCCGCCGCTGCAGCCGGTCGCTTCACTCCCGACACGGCTCCGGGCGCCAGGGCCGCTGCTGCCGGCACGAAACGCATGCCGTGCACGCTCGCAATGGCGGGGTGTACGGCGGATCCGGCTAGCATCACTGTCCGTAGCGCGGGGCCCGTGGCGGGGTGTAGCGCACGGCAACCCAGGAGGTGTACGACAACTGGGCCGCCTCCGGCCAGTTGACCTGTGACCCAGGGTGGCAGGCCGGGGGGATTGGGGGGTTTAAACCTGTGTTGTCCGTCGAAACACCCACGGGCACTGTGGAGGCCGTACTGCTGGTGAAACTAACCAACCATGGATCTGCTGGAATTTGGGGGTTTAGGGTTTTTTGAATGGGTTGTTTAGGTGCCGTACATGTTGCAACTTGCAAGCGGCAATCAGTCCAGTCGCGTTCATGCGGCCCGGGGATCCACACCGCGATGAATGCGCTCCAATCATACCCCAAAGTTCTATTCTTCACCACTACTACTGTTTCCTTGCTTTTCCTGCTTTTTTATGACTTTCCTTTCATGTCATCGGCTAGGTAGTTTTTCTCCGCTTTTTCGCCTTCTGCCTTCTTTGGACTTTGGACTTGGCAGCTAGTAACTCGTCCCACAACCCAGATAGCTATACGGCCACATCGCCGCAATGACTACCACTACTCAAAGAGTCATCACTGGTCAGTAAATATTCCTGATGCAGCATTTGCCATCTCCTGGACTATCCATCCATCTCTGGTATCTGCTTCATTCGCCAGTGGTTCGGCTTACCTCCCACCATCGCCAACACGCACATACATACACGCACACGGCAGCCAGCGGGGAGCCCCCGACCCACCTTTAATAAGCACGCATCGCCCGCCTGTGTAGGAGCTGCGGCTGCAGCTGCCAGTGCTGGCAGATGCAGTGGCGGAGGCGGGTCGCAGCATTCGGAGATCTTGGAGGTCCGCCAGCATCGCAGCCAGGCTAGGGAACACCGTGAGCCGCGGGGATTGGGCCCCTAGCTGCTGCTGCTGCTGCTGCTGCTGCTGCTGCTGCTGCTGCTGCTGTGGGGCCAAGCCCGGGGCCCCGCTCAGGAGCCGGGGGGACGATAGGGAGATACCAGTACCGGATGGTAGAGGTGGTGGCGGCTGCGACGGCAGCATGGGCTGGAGGCTGCCGCTGCTGCTGCAGCGACGGCTGAACTGCGTATACGACGGATCCTCGGTTGCAGCCTGGGCTGCGGCGGCAGTGGCGGTGTCGAAGGTGGAGGGTGCGGGAGGGGCGCCAGGGCGGTTGAATGCGATGACGGAGGCAGGGGAGGTCCCGACCGCGGGGTTGCGCGTTTGTTGCGCGGTGGCCATTGATTGGGAGCAGGTGCTGCCAACGTGGGGAATAGTGTCCAGACTGCAGTTGCTTTCGCTGGGGCTCTGCATGCGGCTGCTTCGAGAAGGAGGAGTAGATGCCGGTCCGTCTTGGTCCTCAAAAGTTGGGTCACGCTCGTCCTCATCACTCGTACCCGCGACATCGGGAACAGTACGGCTTTCGGTCCTGCCCATATCCAGGCGAAGGGTATCACATACATCGGGTGGGGTTGCTGCTCGTTCAGTCGACCAGGACCGCGGCTTTACATCAGGTCCCCAACCCGACGTGGGAGACGCGTCGAGGGCAACTGTGCCAGTTGCCAAGGTAGGTTGAGATTCGCCTTTGTGCGCAGGATTTGTATCCGTGCTAAGCGGCTGGTTGGGCGCGCAAGAAGTGCCAGTTGCCAGGGACGGCGAAGCCTGCGACTGGGCTGGGCTTTCAGTTCCACGCAAGCGTAGCTGAGCATGGTGTTCAAGTTTTATTAAGTTGGGCGGTTCGGCAATGTCATCATCATTTTTATAGGACTCCTGCTGGGGAGGTACATCGCCTTTGAGGTTCGCTGCGCCTTCGTTGTCATAAGCTTTTCCAAAGCAGGCCGCTAAGCATCCCAAGCCAGGCATTCGTGGAAAAAATATTGGCTGTTTGCAGCCACCGTTTGGCAACGTGCGCCACGACGACTAAGCACCGCGAGGACACTGGCGGAACCTCATGTTATATAAGCCAAAGCACCCACCCGGGAAGAGCGGGAAAAAGGTCTTATGCTTCTACATTAATGCGCATACATAATAGTCAGAATGCAGCTATCTCGTACCATAACATAACTATCACAAGGAAGTTACTTTAGTTGCATTATAGGCATAAGAGCACTTAGATACACATTTTGGAAACTATTCAATGCAAAAGTAACCAGGTACCAGTAGAAGTACGGCCTGCCGCGTTACATTACGGCTTACCGAATCTGCTCGCGGAGATAGTATTTTGAAACATTGTAAACTCAAAAAGTACAGGGTTATGCACAAAACCTAAAAAAAGACTTCAGACAGTCCGTACTGTGGCGTGCGGAGGCCTGCATGCTGCGTACCTCGATCGCGCGCTAAGAAGACGCACCACCTGGAAGCATTTCAAGTGGCAACCCAGCCGGCCAATAAATGTTGGATATGGATGCTGCCAAAGTAGTACACTGCACAGTCTCGGTTGTCCTACCCTCTAAGCTCGAACAAACGGACACCCTAAGTCCATACCTACAAATCTGTAGGTTTCCTGCGTGTGTTGCAAGGGAGGCGGCGTGTTTGTGTTGTACATAAGGTTCTAAACGACTGGGATGTCCTCGGAAGTCCTTCCTTTGCACTTCTGTAACTGGCCAAGACAAATATTGAACGGTTCAACGTGGACCGACCATGCAACATCTGCATTAATCCTCCTAACACAGACACGTAGCCTTCGTTTTGGCAGCAGACGCTCCGGGGCCCCCATCGTCGAATCAGGTTTGGTTGGCATGGGTTTCATGCAATCTCGACCGTGTAGAAGACATACGCATCAGCGAACACGGCTGCTGCGCGGCAGCCCTTCCCCTTACCTCCCACAGTCACTACTGCCCCCATACAGCCCCCAGTACACCATGAAGTGCAGTTGGCGCAGCCACGTCGGGTCCACGACCGTAGCCATCCGACAGCCAGTTTAACGGCCATCGCTCTGTCCCCGGCTCTCGCTAGGTGAAAACGGGGTAACGTGAAACAGAAAGGCTAGGATGAACGGGAGGCAACGTCGGGAGCAGGGACAGAACAAAGAGAAGCCTGGAGCACACATCGGCGTCGCTGACGTGAAAAGAGGCCATGCACGGAGCGAAAAATGGCAGACGAATGGCCAGCTAGCAGAAATGCAGATGTGGTTTGATGCATCCCAGTTGAAACGAACCACCCCAAACCCCATCTGCACTCAAACCAAAGGCCAACTCAGGCCAAAACGCAGGGCCTCAGACAGGATCATGGCACAGCATAAGGACCTAAAAATCACAGGACGGAAAAAAAGCAATACGCAATCTCTCAGTCAAGTGCAAATAAGGAAGACAAGAAAGGAAAAACGTAGACGAGCCGGCAAAATGTTGGAAACGCCAGGAAGGAAGCAGACACTGCAAAAATTTGGAATGCGGAATAACTAGAGACATTTCCAAACGCCCTCAGATGAGGATTCGACACAGCGCAACCCCAAAAGCACATCAGAACAATGTCCAAAACCAAAACCTAAGCAAGGTGGCACTTCAATCCAGGGCCAGGGCTCGGGTTGACATCCACAGCTATGGCCAAGTGAGCAACGACAGTATTACTTTGGGGACGCGGCCCCCGCTTGTGGCTCCGCAGCCACAAGGGAGGGACGCCATTGTTCTGGGGCTCGGCGGCAGCTGTGGGAGCCACGGGTCCGGTTGCTAAGGCTCGTATGGGGAAGGGCTTCTGCAATTGCTGTTGCTGTGGTTGCTGCTGTGGTGTGACTGCTGTAATTGCTGCGGTTGGCTGTAATTGTTGGTTGCAAATACGTGCTGGCTCGGAGGTCGTGACCAATCGTTCCATGGAGGCGGCCAGGTTTGTCCGCACCGGGAATTGGGCCGCCGGGGAATCTCGAGCAAAGGGGCCCCAGCGGTAAAGTATCAGACTGGGGTGGCGAAAACATCCCTTGCTTATAAGTTGTACCGTACCACGAGATGCTCGTATGTGTCGTCCCAGCTGCTCGTATGTGTCGTCCCAGCTACCCACGCTGTACACCTCAGCACGAATGCAGCAAAAGTGTGAGTTAAGTTATTGTTTTTTCACCCCAATGGTCAGGTTAGAAGGCAGGTCTATGCTCTCAGCGGATACAACCTGGTCACCATGCGCGCACTTGAAGAGGGGTTACCAATCTTCCGTCCGGTCACTTGGAAAACACGCGCCCGTTATCTGGGGCTGCACTTCGGACCAGACTCGGGTTTTGCGTCTTGCACGGATGAGCTGTTCTCGGCTGGCCAACGGGCCATGTTTGCTCTGCGTAACAAGCTGCGCCGGCAGGGTCTGCTGCTACCTAGCGTCGGCATGAAGTGTTTCAATGCGCAAGTTCGTTCTGTCTTATCATACGGCTCGCAGGTGTGGGGGGCTGACCAGGTTCTCGCGATGTTGGACAAGGGCTATCCGGCTAACGAGGCACCGCGGTCATGCTATTTCGATGTGGCTATACGAGACCGCATGGTCAAGCTCCAAATCTTTTTCATGAAACAATTGGTAGGGACTTCTGTACCACCCCTCCAGCTTCTGTTCATGGAGCTAGGTCAGATGCCGCTACAGCTGCACTGGGCTGAATCCGTATTTCGCTTCTGAAATAGTTTGGTGGAGGATACTAGTAGCGTATACCACAGCGCCTTTCGTCAGGAAATTCGTTTGGCGTTAGTAACGAATTTACAGTTTGATGGTTGGGGATCCAAAGTCATTCGTATCCTTAACCACTTAGAGCATGACTGGGGTGAGGAGGCAGTCGGGGGAGGCATTGATATGAGGGTTAGACGTTACTCGGCTTGCAAGCTTGATGTCGAAGCGCTGATGGATACCCTTAGGACACGTGTCAACGACGACTGGGCGAATGATAGGCTAGATGTGGACCCTAGAGTTTTCGTTACGGACGGTAGGAAGCCCGGCGTGAAGATGGGCCGCCATAAGCACTGGATGGGGCCACCGAAGCCGTACGTGGGTTATATCCCCCCGGCGCATCATCGTGCCCTAATCCGCTTTCGTTTGTGTGTCTCTGACCTGGCGGTTAACAGTGAGAGCAACAGGGCTAGGGAGCACCGCGTGTGCGCTGTGTGTCGTAGTAATGGTGCTATTGAGGATGAGAAACACTTCCTGGTAGAATGTCCGGCGATTATGTCTGCGCGTCAGAAGATCTGGGACCTCGGTGTGCCCGTCAATGCGAACATCCGTGATATCATGCAAGTGGATGATCAGCGTGGTCTTGCAAAGGCTATTTTTGAGATGTTTCGCTCCCGGCATGAGCACCTAACTACCTAACTTTCTCGGCGGTAATAGGCAATTGTGTTTCAGAGTCAAATTGACGCTGTTCTTTCTCATAAACACCCGTTTTCTTCTTGCGTAAAACTTTCCTTTTTTGTTGTTTGTTTTGTTTGCTTCGTTTACTTTTTCTCTTTTTTTCTTTTCCCTATCGACGGCGCTGTCAAAGCGGTTCATGAGCCTCCGGGTTCGTTTGGGCCGTACGAGCTCGCTGAAGCTTGTAACATCCATCCATCCATCCATCCAGCAATGCTCTCCATTTTTTTCACCAGGTTAAGATAGGATTGAAGCGTATGAATTGATGTGTGCTTTTGATAATGCATAGAGCTTTTGTGTGGATCAGAGCGGATACTGTGTCTGGATCCCGTATTTCTTTTTTTCCAGAACGCACATCGCAAACCCACCTGCGGAAATATGGCCTACGAGCCGTATACAGTACGCAAATAGAACTGCGGCCTACGTTAACCGGGTACTGAAACATTAATAATTTGAACTGGCTGTCCATGCTGTTCACGCTGCTCAAAATAGTGCGCACACACCTATCGCCTGCGCAAATACTGTGTTAAACCACTCCAGATCATAGAACATGAATCATGGTGATTCAGGAAGTTTAGAGAGTAAAGGCTTGGAGACCGCGCGACTTGCCGAACCAAAGGTAGAAGCATATGGTGTATTGTCCCTACGCTCTCGGAGTATGCTGTTTTCTTGTTTGAGTACGTTCGCTATAGCAGGCGGGTGCTATGGAAATTGTGGAGCGCTGTACCAAAAAAGGTGACTACGACCACAGAGTGCTTCCAAATTGTGTGGGAGTGTCCTTTCCTTGCAGTCGAGCCGATGGCAGAGTGTGCTGTTTCTTCTGCCCTGAGGCATTTCATGATGTAAGGGAGGAGATTTGGAAGCTAAGATTGGGCATTGCATTGTTCGGCGACTTGTCCAGGCCCTTTTGGCACAGGCACTAAGATGGCCGCGCAAGAACTAGATGACATGAGAATTGTTTGACCAAGCTGATGCGGCACCATTTTGGTTTACGGGATTCAGCGGATTTCCTGGAAATGGCGCCGCAAGCGTTGGTGTCGCGTCTCACTCTGCGGCTTGCACTGAACATCCAACTACACAGGAATCGAGGTTGTGAACGTGGACGGCTTAAAGTTCATGCGGAAACGCAAACGGACAGAAAAGGATCCTGAGCAGGCTGGGGAGCCGTGTGGGCAACCCGGTGTGCAAGCCAATCCAGGCCCAGAGCCAACGAACACGCAGGCTACCCCGGGTTTCGATGGCACTGCTCTTGCCGCTGCATCTGGAACAGCACAGAACGCTGCCTTCAATACTGGTAGCCCCATAGCTCATGAAATGAGCGAGGAGCAGCCGTCCATAGCCCAAACGGCTTCACAAGTACCGCTTTCACCGGAGGAGGACGTTGGCACGGAGCAGCCTCCTGGCTCCGGCAGCCCTATGGCTGCTGACGGAAAACAGCCCATGAGCGAACCGGCCCAGCCGCCCGTCCGTGAGCAGGACCTGCAAGCAGTCGTTAGCAACCTTCTCAAGTTCATCCCTACAGGGTGCCCAACCGCAGTTGCCATCACTTGGCTTCTACGGGAAACACTGCGCGTCGCGGTTCCGCCTGGGGACGAGGCGGGTGCGGCCACTGCGGCCACGGTGCTGCAGAGCTTCCAGCGGGGCTTTGACAAACAGGTGGCTGCTGCACAGCAGCTGCTCCTCCTGGGGGATCCAGAGCATCTCGAACAGTTTGACAAGTTGGCACCCATAGTCCGCAACATGTGCGCGACGGAACGTCATGTGGTCAGCCTGAAGCAGCAGCTGGAGGCGCTCCGGCGTGAGGAGGCTGAATGGCTGGCACTGGAGGAGAGGTACCGCTCGGGTGCTTGCGGCATTTGTGGCGAGGACGCTACCAGTCTAGCCGTGTCTGGCGGCGATATGGAGATAGAGCAAAACCAAGAACACGTTGACGTCGCAGTGCTGGAGTCGGCACAGCAGCGAGCAGAACTCCAGCTCTCGCTACAGGTGCGATATGCCACATGCCTTGTTATGATGCTGGTTACACCGTCGAGTCCCGTCCACATTGTTCCCCAAACGGGATTAGACTAAAGTTCTTGACTTCATATTGCCGGATTGTGGCAGGTTTGCTTGGTCTCTAGCCTTAGCACTTTAGCCTTAGCCCCCCGCATTGCGCTTAAGAAGGATGCCGGCGGTTGGACGGTTGGCGCCCAGGTGGACGCCATCAACGATATGCTGGACAAGGCGGAATTCATGGTGGCCAGAGCGCAGCAGAAGTGTGCCAGTATGCAGGTGCGCCACAGAGTCCTAATCGACGTGGTGTCCGGAACTTCTACTATCCATATCTAGGGAGCTTAATGAGAGGCATGAGTCGGTGTGGCCCATCTAGCCCATGAACGAGTCCCTCCGCCCTGTACGATTCCCCGCATGCAGGCCGAGTACCATAAGGAGAACTTCCAGTCTTATGCCCACGTCAATTCGCCGCAAGTGCTTGTGAAGATGCTTTCCCAGGCCCTGCCTTCTGCAGCCATGGACTTCGTGCCGGCGTCACAGCCTGGCGATGACTGACAAGTGACGGCATTTCTAGTTGCTTGCTGCCTGGATGAAGTGTCGCCCTCACCGGGAATCAAGGAAAGATATGCCTCGCACATTGGAATGACCGGCGAACTTGGCGCTTTAAGCCCAGTCAATTGGTTAGATACGTTCGCTTATGATAAGGGCGTCCTTTCTACGTAAGGCCGTGACGTCGCCTATGCGACGAGGCTAATTTGACCAATGTCACTAACCGACGGACTATTAATTAAACATGTAAGCCGTACATGCAAGCGTGCACGCCTGCCTTGCAGAACCTCATTTCACACAAACAAGCATACACCGGGACCGTCCGAACTCTTGGCTGTCGTCTATCCAAACAAAAAAGCGTCAAACACGTCACGAACCAAGCCCAGTCAACACGAGCATGCACAAATCCGGAACTGGGAACACGGTTTACGCCCCGAACGGCGTGTCATAGTATTGAAAGCGTTCACGGAAGCTGGGCTAAGCGATAGGCAAGACACGATCAGCCACACAACACCGCCGCCATGTACCCGCTTTCCAATATATTCTCAGGAAAGATCGCTAGGTAGTGGGTTTTTCTGGCAGGTCACGTCCGATCCGGATGCGCCGTCGACAGAAGATGGACGCACCCACAATGCTTGCGTCAGATTTTCTGCACGCTTGAAACTTCTCATCAGAGCTGTGCAAATAGCCCTTTACCCTACATGTTCCTCCTACGATGCTCGGGAAAAAGATGCACTGGGGATGCACACCCTGTCGCACACTAGCAGTTCAGCTGCACAGCCAATCCCGTGCGCCCAGGCCGGCAACATGCTTGCACACCCCTTCTCAACGCCCGGGAAGCGGTGAATGCCCAGCGTGATACACGTGCCGCCAGCGCATACTCTACGTCCCCATGGGTGCCCTACAAGCTATATAACAGCGACCCAGAGATTGGTCCATAAACACGGGGTAAACAACGGCTTGTCAAGGGGCCCATATAGTAACCCAAGCCGAACGCGCGCGTACCTCATCCAAGTTCTGTGCATCGCACTCGCACTCGTGCGTCTCAGAGTGTGAGCGTGGTCGGCTTGATCGGTGAAGCATCCAAGAGGCTTTCAGTCCCCAGCCGCCCGCTGCTCGCCATCAGCTCCACTTCTTCCTCGAGCTCAATCTCCAGCTCGCCCGCCGCTATGAGGGCTTTCGCACGTTGCGCCTCGGCATTCCAGTCAAACTTGAACACTATCCAAGACAAGATAAGCGACTGTAGCGAGGCAGTGCAAGCCAAACCCGTCCACAAGCCCATGGCCCCGAGACCCAATCGGAAGGCCAGTAAGCACGCAAACGGCAGCCCCAGACCCCAGTACATGAACAGGTTGATTTGGGCGCCGATCTTCTGACGCCCGCAGCCGCGCAACACACCGGCCAAGACCGTGTTGGCGCCCTCGCCTGCAAAAGTTTGCGGGACGCAGGAGGGTGGGTAACGCTCAATGTCTGGCACCGGGTAACTGTGTCGCCAATTATTGTTCTAAGCCTTTACTCGCATCGGTACCTTCACCAAACACAGCAGTTGCGAAAAAGGCGGCAATAAATCATTCTGTCCAATTTCCTTCGACTTGTCCTTTCTACTTTCTACTAAGGTTGGCACGCGCCCTCAGCACGGGTCGTTGGCACACGGCATTCTTAGACAGGCTTACCTATAAGCGAAATTGCCAGAGTGGGCACCGCCTGACTTGTGAGCAGTACCACCTCACGGTCACCCGCAAACAATGCTCCGAGCTGATCTCGGAACATGAGCAACATGCCGGCGCAGATAATCATAATGACGGTCCCCATGAGCACCGAAACCTGCGTATTGAGCCACGCTTGCCGAGGCCGACTGGCACCTGCGTGAAAGGATAGGCAACGCTGGTTATTATCAGCTCGTCAAAAGGTATTGTGACAAAGTTATGCTGCATTATGGAAATGATACCTTATCCTGGACAAACATCATGCGCACTTTTACTGAGCATCTTTACCTCATGCTTAATCCATGCACCATGGCAAAATACTGTACATGGTCACGGTGTGAATTTGCTCTAGCAGGATCTGCGAAAACATATTTCGTGCTCCTTCCCTCCCCCCACCGTCCAACGCTCAGACCATAAGGCAACCGCTCACCTAGCTCATTACCGACCCGCGTGCTGACAGCCCCGCTAAGGCCATGAGCCGCAAAGAAGCACAGCGCGTGGATGTTGAAGGTAATACCCATCATGGACATGGTCATCTCTGGCCGTGGCAGCAACCCAGAGAGCATTACTATAATCTGTAACAACAAAACGAAAGGAAAACGAAGGATGGGCATTAGCATGGATCGAGATAGATGACGTGATAAAATTGCGTGGAACTCCGACGCACTCCAACACGCCGCAAATCAAGGACCTCTTGAAGTCAACCCAAATCGCGACCAAGGCGACAAAGGTTTAAGTTAGGGTTTTAGGGTTTTAAAGCCCAAAGCCCAACCCTTAGACCAAGAGTCACAAGGAGACTACCTCAGGCGTGCACTAGCCGCTGCTGGTTCCCGCCGGCGAGGTCTAGGCTAGAAGTCCCCTAGGGCTCTCCCTTCCTACTTCAGGGGAGACCTTGTCACCATACCAAACGTTAATCTTTCCCTACACAATCTTCGCCTCTCACGCCCTGGGTCCAGCACAATACAACTACCGGTACCCTAGGGTGCTTTGCTAACCCGTGATGCTATAGACGATGGACCGCACCTCAAAAGTCCACCAGTCAAGGCAGATCATGACCGCTGACGGAATAGCAACTCGGATGTACAGCGGCCATTCCGACAAGCACTCCCGGCTCCACCCCGTCCAGGTCCGTTTGGATGGCTCCTGGCCGTAAGTGTGGTAGAGTGTGAACAGCAGCAAGCCCAGGCAGGAGCTCGCCTGTACGCACGCCCATGCCACTGCCGCGCCATCAAATCCCCAAGCACACCTGCAACAACGGAAGAGGACGAAACCAGTGCCCCCGTGGCCAAATAGCATTATTTACTGACGTGCCGGTACATCTGTGCACGCGGAGGCCTATCCCCGCACAAAGAATATGCATATGGCATACCCGGTTTCAAATAAACGGCGTGACGATAGACGGCGTGGCTAACAATTGTGGTGCTCCACTTCGAGAGGGTAACCAAGGAATAGGCCGTGGGAGAGTCAACTAGACTGTGGGAGACAAAGGTTTACTTGTACGGTATCTTTCCATGGCTTGCCAAGCGCAAGCGCAGTCGCTTCACAGCAGCTATGCACAAGCGGCCACTGACCACCCCCTCCCCCTGCGCTGCCTACACCAACCTGAAGATGAAGTACCAGAGGTACAGCGGCGTGAGGAGTGTCGCGATGAAAGTGACGTACATCAGTGGTTGCACGACAGACTGAGATGCAAGGTATCGGCGCAGACACTGCTCAAAGCCGTCCAGCACCAGGCACGGGCTCAGCAGCATGGTGAAGCGCCCCGCCGCTTTAGCGATGTGTGGATCTTGGCCCATTGCCAGCATGAGGGACTCCGCTTTTCCCCACATCGCAATGCATAGTAAATTGAAAATAGTGGTGATAACCAGCGCACGTTGTGTAACGATCCCCACCGTTGCGTATTTCTTTGCGCCATAGGCTTGCCCGCAGAACGTTTCCATAGCTGTCACAACACCAAGCATGGGCGCATTCCCGCTGACGTTGTACAGCGTCTGGGATAGCACTAACGACGACAGCTCCACGGGCCCCAGATGACCAACAAACGCAGTAATGATGAGCTCCTTGGCAAACGTCATCACTTCCATGCCAGACAGCGGCCATGCCAGAGACCACAACCTGCAAGCCCGCATGCCCCATGACCAAGCACGCAAAACAACGTTTCGGTTGCATGATTTCCGCACCTCGTCGCCACCGAAATCCATGTGCTTGTTGCCTTCTTAGGCGTCGCTGGCTTCATTTTCATTGTGTAGTCATAGCCGTTCGGTGTCTGCTCTCTGAACTTGCTCCTTTGCCGGTTGGTACTTCTGCACGGTTACATGCCTGTTGCGTGTCAAAACCTTATGCAGAGGGATAGGGTCATCCGCAGGAACACCGCTCAGCGTGGTAAATGGGCTCACCCTACACCTTCTTGCTCAAGGTCCTCTATCATCGGCCGCCCCGGCGCCCTATACGTAAGGTTCCAATGCCGACTGCTTGTATAGAAATTCATGAGCCATCTGGCTTAGCTGCAACGTTCAGACGGCCAGGGGAACACTAAGCGGGAGTAATACCAGTGATCAGATTGTAAGATAGATCACAATTAAAAGCCAGACGATAGTATTATTAAGAACGAAGGTCTGATAGTTGCAATACAGGCTGGCTGTTGCCCCTGCTTTTCTTGATAGCTAGCGGAATGCCTGGGAGGTGCGCTCTAAGTGACGATCATGTTGCTAGTTTACAGATCTAAAACAAAAGTTACATTTGAAGGGGTTGGTCCGCGATAACGGGGTACGGAGTTGCGGCAGTTGCATTTTTTGATGCATGCTGTGACCGGGAGGCGTGGAGGCCTACCTATACAAAGAGAAATGTGGCCTTCTTGCCGTCATCAAATTGAATACCTCCTTTGAGTTTATCTTTTTGCGTTAGAAGGATAGGGACGAGCGGGACGTTGCCTGCAAAACCGAGTCGCCCCATAGCACTTGTGTATAGATGCTTCTTCCCCATCGTGGCCTACCTGTTGACATGTTTCGTAGTATGGAAGGTTGACGGGATAGCCGAAGTTTTGGAGGCGTGTGCTTGGATATTGAGTTCGTTAGCACTATGGTAATTCTGCATTCCCATGCTACTTTAAGCGCTGATCCGCGCGGAAGTCCTCCTAGTCACTGCTAGGCTTGTGTTTAACTTGCCCTGCTCAGCTACTCCGCGCAGGGCTGCTCAGGCCTACCTGGTGTCAACACACGTTCGTTTCCCACACGAAGCTTATAGCATCTCACTTTGTAGGCCACCTCAAAATCACCGCGACACGGCTTTCAACCGGCATTTCCTGACCCGTGGGCCGGTCCACTACAGAATCATGCGCGACCCGCGCGTATGCCCGCGCATGTGGGTGGACCGCGCTTCGCCTGCGACTAAAAATCCATCTGTGGCAAAATAGTCTCGCAACAGCTCGGGGAATAGCAACAGCCGCGCGAAGCAACAAGTCACGTGTGCGCCCGTACAACGCGCTCTCCGAAACCAGGTTTCGTCATTGCAACTAAGGCACACCGCATCCAGACTTGAAACTCAAGCAAACACATTTATTACGACATTAAACCCCCATCCAAAGCATCAATGAATAATCCATGCAAGTAGCGATCGCCTGTGCGCGCGACAAACCGGTTTAAAATACCCCGAGGGAGCGTTGCGAAAGGCATCACGACTACATCACTTCCTTTTGCAATGACACAAACCCACCATTAATTTAGTGTACGCGATCCCATCATCACCGCACTGTAAACCGAAGGGTGAAAGACAATAATACGCAAGCCTTCTTAAGCCCTCACACAGATCCGTTGCCGGCCCGGAGGCCATGAATTGCCCATGCCCATACGCATGCATCATCGTCTCGCTTGTTAGGACTGAACACGCAGAAACCAGGCTGCTGCCAAACTTGTCAGCCCTGCCAGTTGCAACTGCCTTTCTGTTCCAGCAATCGAAACAACAACAACAACAACAACAACAGTATTGCAGTAATGTTATCAACAGCCCGCCCTTATTGCCTGGGGATGGGAGCTTGGGGCTCCCCCCTGAATCCAGCACTACTATTTCAGCTGACAGCTCCATAGTTCCGGCATTCTGCCTACACTATTGGAGCTTATTATTATTGTTGCTCTCACTTTTATCCAAGACCTTACCGACTACCCTCAAGCCTCATCGACGCTCTACCACAACGAATCGACATCGCCGCGGACCTGTCACTCTCCGAGGAACAACCAGGAGCTCCGTCACAAAAATCAAAAAATGACGGGTAAGAGGACAAAGGCAACGGGAGATAACCTGGTCAACGCAGGAGCGGCCGAAGCAGCCGGCGAAGGGGGATCGGGCCAGATGCTGCCAGCCAACCAAAACGACATAGAAGCCGCCAGGGATACTTTGAGCGGGAACATAGACCAGCCGACTCTTCACCAGCTGCTGCTGGGCGTCCTGTCAGCAGCGCAGGCCAACGCGCCAAAAGCGCCAGCCAGGGATCCCCGGACAGCACCGCCTCGGGATCGCTCTCCTGACGTTGTCATCACAAAAGACGTGACCATCATGCCATCCGCAAGAGAACAGCTAGCAGCAATAAGGACGGAAGTTCAAGCAAATGACGCACCGAAGCTGACAGCACCACACGAGCAGCGGGAGCAGCTCGACGAAGGAACGCTAATGCTGCTAGAGACCGCCATCACCGCGCTGGATGCGAACGAACCCCAGCTGGCCGTCGCGGGAGAATGCCTCAAGATCGCTCACCGCCGCCTTAAGTGCTACTCCGTTGCTCTGGCCAAGGCGGGCCCAGGAGCCAACGG